ATACTTTTATCTTCTTTATCATATTTTTGTTGCTGCTTTTCTCCCTGCTACCTGAAGATATCTTTCGGATCTGTATCCCACTATTACCTACCAATTGCTTGATGAAAACAACTTATTCATGTGGCAAAAACTAAAAAAATCAACTCTCCAAGAAGCAATAGACTCCAAAAGAAAAATAAATAAATAAGAAAGAAAAAAGAAAAAGGAGCAGACTGCTGATTCTTGAAGCTGCAAAAACTCACACTGCTGATGTCCAGGTCAATATCCCCATGGGCCAGATGTACAAGAAACTACTATGACTTCTTCCAGAAAGAGAGATGGGAAAAATCACTGACATCGTATCATCCATGATTCTTACACAGGTTCGTACAACTGATTACTATTTGACATTTATACCATGTCYTTAGACTCTGTGCCTTGCCCTTATCATATAGGGTCACAACTGTGCAAAGTCAAAACTACATGAGAAACCTACTCTTCCTTCTCCAGTATGAAGGGCTGAGGTCCTATACGTACTATAGGATATTGAAGCTACTTCTCAAGGTTGAATAAATACAAGCACTGGAAGTGTCCTCCTGCAGACAAACTTAGATCTATAAGAATAAATTTGACTAGCACTAGTTATTTTTTCTTCACACAATATAATTTAGATGATAAAGGAAAAAAATACATATTTTTTATTATTCTGGTGCATTCTCCAGTTCTCTAAATAGGCTACCATTACATTCAAATGCTTCCTAAATTCTCAAGAGGAAACCCAAAGGGTAGCAAAGCACCATTTCACAGCAGAGGACTTGGAGTATGATGCCCATAGCACAACATGAACTTCTGTGAAAAGCTCATTACACTTATCCATTGGGATTTTTTTTTCCCTTTATTGCAACACCTAGCAAGTAAACTCCTCATTACTACACATGAGTAATAGTTGATTCGCATTTGCCATTTGTATCCTTTGCTCATGCTACTAGTCCTACTGAACACAATGAAAAAATTATCATTTCAAATCAAGTGATCAAACTGTGGCTGAAAGTCAAATTTAAAAGCATTTCATGGCACTTAGAATAACTAGAAATAAAGATTTATGCCAGCATATATAAACAGTCCATTCCTGAAAAGAAAAAGAATGTTTAAAAGACAACAAAAGATATTTACATGTCATTTTATTTATAGTTTATTAGAATAAGACATAAGCATTATCTAAAAATAAAAAAGTTATTTTGTTCTAGCACTTAGAAGTCTAGCTAGTAACACTGAACAGACAAATGTAAGTTTGCTTTTCTTTGTTTTATTTAATTTTTAAATAGTTTAGGGCAGCAAAATGGTGTCAGAGTTGTACATTTGCATTCCAGGCTGGTACTAACGGGTTGGACAAGAAGTAATTAAAGCAGCCTCAAAATGCTTACATTCGTTACTCTTTCAAACTTGTGGCAAACATACTGAACAAGAATATATGCCCTCAAGGCTAAACTGCTGCAAACATTATTCAGAGAAATCTTCTATTTTTCTTCAGAAACAATTAAAAAAAAAAAGAGGAAAATGTGTTCTAGATTGCATAAAACTGCTTTACTGCCTCTTTAGTGACAGTTACTCAGCCTGACTTGAAATAAATAAATAAATAAATACATTTCTCTTGCTAAATTGTCACAAAATGCCAAATATGTWTCAAATCACTTCTCTCCCTTGTAAAAGCATCTCTAGTGTGATGAAAGTTAGATCAGGCTGAACAGACCAATAATATCCATTTTAAAGCCCAGACTCACAAGGTTGGGTTTTTTTTTCCCYTATTCTTGTGGACAGGGTATTAAACATAACTACAAACATATAATTACTTTTGGGAAGGCATAGCAGGTCATTTCTCAATCTTTCTTTCAGATTGTGCACAGTGGATTAGCATGTTTGACCATACARCTGGTCTGTATGGCCTAAATAGAAAATTACAAACATTAATAAGTTAAATTTAATAAATTAACATTAATAAATTATTGTCAACAATGCAAATGTTTTAGTTGCAAAATATGCAACTAAAGACAATCATAATAGTTCTCATATTATTGCTATTGTTTCATAAACACTCAAGAAAACAACAGGGTAGAGCCTGACTCAAGAAACTGCAGTTGAAAAGTCAACAGATGCTTTACATGGAATTTATTGAGAAAGAACAAGTTTCTCTTTAACCTTTCACATAAAATAAAATTTAATCAATTTTATTGATTAAATTGCCTTTGAAACATTACCGTTCCTWCCAAATAACACAAACTCATTTTGCACAAGTACACAAACAGGAGACCAAAAGAAAAAAAGCCTTATCCTATTGACCTCCTTGTCCAAGACAGTAGTGACGGTGGGAAGATCAACTAGCAAGTCTTTAAAGTAGGTTGCAAACTTTATCCGAGAGTTAAAACATGGCAGGAATGACGGATTTCTGAACATCGGCATCCTGTCCTGTCTCACAGTGGCATCACACTAAGTGTCTCCCCCAGATTTCACATCACAACTATGAAATAAATGAGGCACATTCCTAAGTACCTTCTCCTATCTACAGGAAAGTTAGGCTGGGATTGTTTCACTCCTGGACACCAAACTACAAAATATCTCTGCTTTTGGTATTCTGTTTCTCCTCCTTCCCTGACTCCTCCTGATTTTTATCACCCCTTCACTATTCTATATACGTGTTACCATTGGGAACATTTCATCTCATATTTTTTTTCACAACAGCTCATGACTCTTGCCCTCACAGAAGTTGAAGAGATACACTATGAATACTGATATATTATGCAAAAAATGTCTTTGCAACAAAGTTAACTTTAGAACAGAGAAGACCATCAGAAACAAGTGATGCTTTAAAAAGAAAAAAAAAAAAAAAAAAAAAAA